TTGTTTCAGTTCAGTCCAGGGTGCATTCTGTGTAAAACTTATGCCAGAGATATGCCAATAGTTCATCAAGTATACGGCAACATTCCCGATAAGAGTAATTTTTCATAAAGTATGACGCCAAGTGCAATGACATTGTCTCAAAAACTATAAGACACGGCGGCACTTTTGAAAACTATGGAAGTGATAAAAAACAGCCACAAGGAGTGTAGGGGGGGGGAGGGCACGTGCATTGTAAAGGAATAAAACAAACGACTATGTATAAGTGCATTGTGTTCAACTTAAAAGCTTGAAAAAACAGTAAAGATAAAAAAACATGCGCTGAGATTTTTTCCATTTCATTACGCCAATACGCCAAGGAATATAATTTAGGCTAAATCCATACTGCCATGCCGACAGGAAAGCTAACTCCACACCACAGATCTTCGGGCCTAAGTGCACGAAATGAACCCTGGGAGTTAGTTGGTTTATATGACAATATACGTGGATTTCCCAGGAGTGGCTGGAATAACAGGGACTTAATCTCAAAGGCATGCAGTCACTTTATAACCCAATGGCGCCGGGTGTACAAAACAAAAAAAAAACTCTACGCTTAAGCAAACAAAGGCGGCGCGCCGACTTTGAGCGCATGAGTAGGGGACATCAGCCCGAATCACTGGCTCGCCGCGCTTTGGCGCGCCGCCGGCTCGTTTGGCTGCACGCCAGCTTTCGAGCGCTTTGTTTACACGCCGATCGGCGTCACCCGGCACCAAGGGGTTAAACATTACCAGTACTTTCCATTATATCATTTGTGATGGTAAATAACGAGAGATTTATGCAATGTTGATGATTAAAAGAATAAATGATAACTGGAAGATTGAATGGTTGTGTGAAACAAAAAAATTACCATATTTTCAGTCATACTTTCCATTACTGGCAAAGTTTATGGTAAACTATATGGCTATGTGAAAGTGAAACTATGTTGGGCATTCTTTGCCCAGATCTGGAATATTTTTTGTGGATAATAATGTATTGTGTGTAATAGCTGTAGATGCTTGTTAAATATTGCTATGCAGTTATAATATAGAAAATGCTTTGAAGTCATCATAGATGTGTTTACGCATTGGAGATTGAAACATAACTAAAGTGTGAGGCTGGGCAGCTGGTAGTGATCAGGGATTATCCTCATTTAAGAAGGACCTAAACGTATTGTAGGGGAAACTAGACAAGCTGCACTTAGAAGGGGAAAAAGTTTGCAACAAGACCAAACCCTTCAGTGGCAAAGTCCCCAGCTCGAATGAATGAACAAATGAACCCCATTCTTAAGGCGCAGACTGCCAGAAAGATGACCACATGAACTATAACCTTCCTCACACGGGCTCTCCTGCTGGACCTTCTACCGATTGCCGTATTTCCTTATTGGTAGTTTACCCCCCATACACTCCTCTGATCGTTGCTTCTCCCTTGCAAGTGTCGTCTTTTTGTGTGTTACAGCCCAAGAAGGTTATTAGTTCTGATCCTGTGAGCCATTTTTCGCTTATCCAGTTTTTAATGAATGCAGTCGTTTATTTATTTATTTTTTAATATCTAAGTAATCATATATTCATTGTGATTTTTTGTTTTTAAGATATCTGCCAATGTACAACATTCTCTAAGTGGAAGTAGAATATAAATAATTGTTATCCCAATGCAGCAGAGAAAATGCTGTGCTCATTTTTTATTTTTTTGTGAAATGTTGCTTCAAATAGATAGCTCTGCTAGTGCTTAGCCACAAAGAAGTCAATTAGTGGACATTGTGACCTTACCATTTGTTAAATTGGTGGAAAAAACTTTTTTTTAGTAGTGCTATGAACATCGATGGTGTTATTTTTATTATAGAAATTATAATTACCATAATGTAATAAACATTAGTAATAGCAAAATAAGATAAAGTAAAATGTTTTTGTAAATCAAGGAAAAGGGTAAATGGGCGAATACTATCAAATTAGTTATTTATGATATAGACTAGAATGCTCTTAGTTTTGATATGCATTGGAAAGAAATAGCAAAGGCAAAACATTTATGGCAATTTTTTGTCTTCAGATGCATTTGCAGATTGGCAGGTAAAGGAATAGAATGAAATATCATAAAGTGATTTAATTATTTCATATTGAAGTTCACTCCATACCTGTCGGCACTTTAGCAAAGGCCAGCTAACCTCCCCTTTGCATATTTCACCAAAATATCTGAATTAAAAAAAAACAAAACATTTGAACATGAATATGAACGCTCATACTCAGAGACACTTCCAACAGCCTTTATAGAGAGCAGATTGTGTCACCAAAATAGCTGAACCTTAAGGTTTTAGCATCTGTCACCTATCAGCCAATCACCTCCACCACCACCCTGGAAATGTGGACTTCCCTCGTGGTGGCGGTGGAGGCTGGATCGGGTCGTGATTGGCTCTGAGGCGAGGCAGCTTGGCAATGATTGGCTGACGAGTGAGAGATGCTTAAACTTTAAGGTTCGGCCATTCCTGAGACGCAAGATGCTCTCTGAATACGAGCATTTATTATAAATTTACAAATATGCGGACCAAAAATTTAAATATTTTGATAAAATGTTAAGATATTTTGAAATGCTTGTAAAAAATATTCAAATACTGACAAAATATACAAAGAGGTGGTTGGCTGGCCTTTGCCAAAGTGCTGACAGATATGGAGTGAACTCACGTATTTATAGGCTATTCTGGCAACATAAAGTTTATACAGACTTGATAAGAAATTGTGAGGCAGGTCATCAAGTGTTCATTTTTACCATAGTATCCATGGTGGAAATATATTGTCCTTTGGTAAAGTGTCAACAGGTGTGGAGGCTGAGCTTCCTCGTAGGAAGGCAGGAACAAACCTGCTAAAATTACCGGTAAATGCACCATCCTCTTATCTAAGGGGAAACTACTACTTACGATGTGGGGTTCATTTTTTTTCTCCCCCCCCCCCACCTGCAAGAAAGATTTATTAGGTGTAATTGATAAGATAATACCTCCCTCTGAAAATGTGCGTCATCTACTTTTGTCACTGTGTACTGGTTCATATTTTGCTCAGTGATGTGTATTGCTTTTAGTTTCCTTAATTTTTTATAAAGAAAAAAAAAAATATATATATTTTTTTGTTTTGTGAAAAAGAAAATTGTGATTATGATTTTTTTCAAACTTCATTTAACTTTTTTTCTTTTTTTAACTAATTATCATAAAATTACTTTCCCTTATAGTTGCTAAAAAAAGAAGTTCTAAAACTAGCTAATACAAGCCTGTGAGATATTCCCATTATTTAAAAGTGTTCCTGCTTGTTTCAGAGCAGTTGCATGTGTGTGTGTGCATATATGTATATGTTTTCATAAGTATATGTCTTTGTGGAGTTACATGAATACGTGTTGATTATTATGTCCACGTGTGCACTTCGATTCTTTGTGTGTGTGTGTGTGTGTGCGTGCATATGATTACAAATTAAAGTATTTCTTTTTCATACACGGGAAGCATAAAATGCATTACTATGAAATTATTAATTGAACTGTTATGTAAGTGATTTGGGCCTACGACCTACCTAATTTTCTTTTGAGGGACCTAATATTTGATTTAGAAATCTTATACTGCTACAAGTATTCAGAACTGACCTTGTCTTTTTGCCTTTCCCAACCCTAACCCCCACTCTCCTCATGGCTCATGGTATCCTGCAACAGAAGACAATATGGAACATTGTAAAAGCTGTAGTGATAATGAAAGATTTTGATAACTAAGGTGGTGTTAATTAAAAAAAAAAAAAAAAAATCATATTAGTGATGATGTGATGATGATTGTTCATAGTAAGGTTCGCTTGTAGAAATAATTAAAGTTTGTGATGAAAAGATAATGAAAGTTTGATACTAAGCAAGTCAGTACATTTGTTTTCATGAAAAGTAGTTTTTAAATATTGACATGTATCAGAATCAAGCACTGAAAATAACAGTAGTGCAGTAAGTTAATACAAAATGTAAAACTGCTGTCTTATCATTGGTTGACTTTCCATCTTCCTGACTAGATAGGAAATAAGCTTTTATCCGTTAGTTCAGCACCGGACTGGTTATACTAGGTGTTTGCTGCTTTGCTTGCTGTTTTAGTATTGAAAACTTACTTGGACTTTACTTTCATAGAAGGAAAATTAATAGGCCAGGTTTTATATGTGAAAAGGCTGAATAGAATTTGAAAGGTATTTGTGTTCCTTGGTTTTATTTGGTAAACAGCACAACTGATGAGGCAATGAATGTATGAATTTTAAGTGATAGAAGGAAATACAGTATTTAATCTGGTGGGAAGAGGAAATATCCAGAATCTCAGCAAACAATATATTCATTAGATTCATTCATTCATATCTGTTCATACAGTAATTGTGCGTCTGTAAGGGCTATTTTATAAACACCTCTATACATTGGTAACAGGGAAGTGATAAAAGTTTAGTGGCTAAAAACTCTTTTATTGATAGAGCTAGCACACAGAGAATAAACACACATAATGACAGTCTTGGATTATGGCTGGTCACTTGGGGTCATCCGGGAAGCCTAGCCCAGCGGGCAGGTATGACCTCGACCGACCCGCGGCACACTCTCGTCACACTCTGTTCTGACAGGGCCATCCTTGGAGAATAAGTAGCGGTGATTGGAAGCCAGGGGCGGAGCTACAGGGGCGTGGCTAAAGAAACTGCCAATGCCCGACCTTCGCATGGGCATGGCCTCCCTATTTCCTGCCCAGGGCGTGGCTCCCTGCAGCGGGCGCCCATGGGCCTGAGAATGGTCACTTTTTCCCTTTTTGCCTCGCCCCGGGGGGTAGCCCTTCTCGGGAGGTCAGGTCAGGCCAGTTGGAGGGAGGTCAGGTCCAGATGTTGAATCTCACACCGCATCTCACAGCGTCCCATCTTCCACACACTAACATGACACATACGCTTTATCCTTTCAGATTTGAGAGACTAAATGAGTTCACCAAAAGACAAAGATGGGGCTGATGTGGGTACAGA